AGACTAACATACCTAGTTAGAATAGTTAGACTTCCCACCTAATGGACTAACACACCTAGTTAGAATCGTTAGACTTCCCACCCGACAGACTAACATGCCTCGTTAGAACAGACTTCCCACCCAATAGACTCACACATTCTGAATTTGTCTCAGAAACTGCCTCGTGGACGGACCACCCGGGATGACAAAGAACACGCGACGCCTTGGTTGTCACGCTTCTCTCTGTCTCGCCAGACTGGAACCAGACTGCGTACGGGGTTCCGGACCCCAAGAGCAAGGAGGAAGCCGACATGATCTTGCCGATCGTCCTGCAGCACCTCTGCCCCGTGTACATCTCCTTCTTCGGGCTGGGCGCGGTGTCGGCCGCCGTGATGTCCTCGGCGGATTCCTCCATCCTGTCGGCCAGCTCCATGTTTGCTCGCAACATCTACCAGCTCTCCTTCAGGCAGAACGTGAGGACGTGCCTGTTTACTGTTACGTCATTGCTGTTGCCTGTCCGTGCACTTATTGGGCGTGTAATAGTCTACGCTTGTTAACACGCGAGGTTAAGGGCTGACCCCTTCAGTAAGCGCGCGGTCAGGTAGCGGGACTTTCACTCGGCCGCAGCGAGGGTTTTCCCGCCGGTTCTCCTTCACGCCGGCGCTGAAGGAAACAAAGCACTGTGGCTGCTGCCCGAGGCAGTTACATTGTTACCATTTTAGCCCTCCTGTCCGATGGGAGCGAGATGGAACCTACAGGGCCTCAGAAAGGCGCCGAGTTTCCCTGGCTGGGTGGGCGGCGGCCGGCTCCCTCCCCGCGGCTGCGGCGGCTCCTGTGCGCGCTCCCTGCCCGTCCAGTCCCAAAGCAGCCTCCCGTCGGGTTTCTGAGGACACCCGGCCCGGGAGCCCTGAGCGCCCCGCAGCCCCTCCACGGTCCTCCGTGACTGAGGCTTGTGTTCCTCAGATCTCCCAGGTCCCAGTTAGCAACACGGTCTAGCCAGTTTCCAAGTGGTAGCCTCAGGGCTGGCGGGGCTCCTGCGGAGACAGGAGGCGGGATAAACGGCGCCTCCTCGCTGCCCTAGAAGGGCTGTTGCTTGACCTGCGACGTGGGCAACATCCCTCGGGGTGCTGCGCTTCTGTGACGGCCCGTGGCTCGACCCCCGGCCCCTGCAGCCCCAGCCAGGGAGAGGCGCGGGTGGTGGGGGCTCAGAGCCCTTCCAGGGGTCCCAGGGAGGCAGCAGGCTCCGGCCGCGCGAGCCCATGCCCACCCCGTCTGC